ATATAGATGCGGGAAGAGGGTTTCATTTTTGTATTTTTTTATTCTACCACTTAGCAGTTAATAGTTAAATGTAGCAAAACTAAACAAATGTCAATAGAGAATAAAAGACTATGTGAGGACGACTGTCGTATACGCGAAATAGAACTAAGATTTTATATTTTTAACCATTCTTTGTTATCCATACCCCCCCCCCCCCCATATATATATTCACGACAGAATGAATGTACGTATGTTTGTTACAACATGTCCATTTATATCTGAAACTTTATGATCGTGATCTAAAGATATGCATGAGATTTGGTAAACTTTGATCCTTCCTTCCTTATGTACTTATACATTTTTAATTCACCCCTTTACAGAGACGTATTCACATAATTAACATATTAAAATGAAACTAATATTTTCGGATTTACTTTAAAGTAACCGTGATCACGGATAGACGAGATTTTACTGTAAAATAACCGAATTATCGGGAGTATGTAGTTTATAGTCAAAAATAAAAATTCGCGTAGTAAACCCGAAAATATGAGTTTCATTTAAATGAGTTTCGTGAAAATCTTAGATCTCATTAATTAACATATTCTTTTGTTGGGACTAAGTTCGTTTTTTTTTGTATAACAACTTAATCTCCGTTCGTGGGAAGCATCCTAAGTAATGACTAATACTATCTCTAGTCGCGTTAGAAGTCCTAGACGTGCTGTAATTAGTTATACATTATACATATAATTAGTTACTTCATTTGTATAATTAATACTGTTCATTTTGAGTATATAAAAGTCAGTGGTGGCCTAGTGGTTAAAGGCTCGCATCTCATGCATTAGGGCGCGGGTTCGATTCTGGCAAGTACCAATGTGATTTTTCCGAGTCATATGTACTTTCTAAGAGTATCTAGACATCACTGATTAAAGCATTCCCAAAGAGGGTTGATGTCCGGCAGGTGGCCGGTCGTAAAAACAATTAGCCAAAACTATTCACAACATGTAAGGCAGACCCTGGCTAAAGCTGGAAAATTGTCAGTTGAAGAATAAGAAGTTTATAATGATGAATTTGAGTATACAGTATACTATAGTAATTTGTTTTTCATCATTAATAAATCTGTAACTTTCGCATATTCTTACGTCTACTGACCACGTTACTCCAACCCTAATTCTTCTAATGATAAAAGCTATTTCCTAATTACTTTTGTTTTTACGTCTTTCTAATATTAATACTTGTATCGTAAATATTTATCTTTTACAATGGATATGAATAAAATATTCCTAGTAGTCATTTATATTGAGAGTATGTTTGTACCTATTTATATACAAACACACATACGGACCAATTACGTATCACTACGTTCGAGTTACGTCACTTGTTATATAATGTGTGTGTGTGTTATGAAGCTGTACAATAACAGATCATATTCTCTTAGAGTAAATTTCAAGTTCACCGATATATGTATACAGGGTGACTGGTGAATTACTATCGATATTTGAGGACGTGATATTTGACGATCATATATGACAAAATAAAAATTAATATAACATAAATATTAATAAACTTCTAAGTAAAGTTAACCAAAAGTTATGTAATTAATTACGCATCGTGTGAACACCCTACAGATTAGGTATACACACACTCACACATACGCGAGCGGGGGCGTGGTGTTGTATCAGCACGCCGCCGCACGCGTCCACACTTGGAACACTTGGAACGTGTCAACACTTTATTTATTTATACGGAAATTTTGCCAAAAATTAAGTGCCTATTTTTTTTCCATAATTCGAATGAGAATCATGTACCGAGTATTCGCCTTAAATATTGATAGTAATTCACCAGTCACCCTGTATATAGACTTGGTACAAGATATATATAGTATAGTTTTTGGCCCGCGACTTTGTCCGCGTCAATTTCAGAATTAGTAATGTATAGAGCACCTGGGCGAACTTTATTCCGCCATAGTGACCGTAAATAACCACATATTGGATTTTATTACGTATTTTTTGTATTTTTCGATCGCATTTAATTAAATATCCTATGTCCTTTCCCTTGTTCTAATCTATCTCTCCACCAATCTTCAATCATATCTCTACAGCCGTTCTCAAATTATAAATAGTGTAACTAACACGACTTTCTTTTATATATAGATTTTGATTAATAATCCACGTATATACCTATTTCATTCGACCTTTCTTAATTGTTACTCCAAGTTCACTCTCACACTACATACGTAACGTTTTTATCATCTAATAATCTTTGTAATATTGTAATATGATATTGCCCAGACGAAATCACAGACAGGCAGTTAGGCAGACACTGGCTAAAGCTGGGAAATTGCCAGGTAGATAGAAAAAGAAGTCGCGGACAAAAATTAGTATATTATAATTTAGTAAAACATGAGTACTCATTAATATTATCTTGATTTGTAAGCGTTTAATGTCTTATAATAATTACATTAAAACGTTAGTTACACGTAATTGATATTTGTTTACGACAAACGACCGTACTGTACGTGTCGAGTTAGCTTTTAGACGTGAGCTCGTACTTAGTTCTGATGACACGATCTTTATAGAGTGACTCACTCGGGTCAAGTTTACGACGCGAGATGAATCTCGACGACGCTAGGATGCTGCATCATATGTATGTAGGAAACATCTACAGGGTGACTGGTGAATTTCTATCAATATTTAAGGAGCATACTCGGTACATGATTCTCATTCGAATTATGTAAAAAAAATAGGCACTTAATTTTTGACCAAATTTCCGTATAAATAAATAAAGTGTGTACACGTTCCAAGTGTTCCGAGTGTGGGCGCGTGCGGCGGCGTGCTGATACAACACCACGTCACGACACGCGTATGTGTGAGTGTGTGTGTATACCTAATCTGTAGGGTGTTCATACGATGCGTAATTAATTACACAACTTTTGGTTAACTTTACTTAGAAGTTTATTAATATTTATGTTATATTAATTTTTATTTTGTCATATATGATCGTCAAATATCACGTCCTCAAGTATCGATAGTAATTCACCAGTCACCCTGTATATAGACGTTATATTTTTTAACACTTTTAGGTATATATCGGAATGTATTTTTTACTATACATGAAATTCTGCATTTACCAAAAAATCCAACTAAAGATTGAATTAATGTTTTTTTTAATATAAAAATCGTATTTTAGAACGTTTTTTTCTTCTAAAATAACAATTTCTTTATTATAAAATATATATACATATATCTAGATAGTAGATTCTATTTATTATAAATTTATAGCCATCATCAATGTACCAATATGGTATTGATTATGGAAAATGGTCTGTTTTAAGGTAATATACTACCTACCTGTTGCAGGATTATATGATATTTCAGTCGTAAAAGAAACGCCTACCAGGCTGTAATAAAATGTATTTTGATACTGTATATTATATTATGATAGAGGATTTTACGGCTATAAACATAAATACATATATATATAATAGAAGTTTATAGTCAGTGGTGGCCTAGTGGTTAAAATGCCCACCTCTCATACATGAGGGCGCGGGTTCGATCCTCGCAAGTACCAATGTGATTTTTCCAAGTCATATGTACTTTCTAAGAGTATTTAGACATCACTGATTAATGCATTCCCAAAGAAGGTTGATGTCAGGCAGGCGGCCGGTCGTAAAAACAATTAGCCAAAACTATTCACAACATGTAAGGCAGACCCTGGCTATAGCTGGGAAATTGCCAGGTAGAAGAAGATAATGGAAGTTTAATACTATTCTTTATTAGAGTACAATTTAGTCAGTGTTCATTGAAACAGTTTATATATTGTATATAATGATAAGAATATAATCCCTACTAATATTATAAATGCGAAAGTAACTCTGTCTGTGCCTGTCTGTTTGTTACGCTTTCACGCCTAAACCACTGATTTTAATGAAATTTAGTACAGCATAGAGTTGACCTTGAGAAAGAACATAGGATAGTTTTTATCCCAGACTTTTGGAAGGTTCTCTTGGAAACGCGATATAACCGAACACCACGCGGGCGAAGCTGCGGGCGGAAAGCTAATATTTATATAAAACAATTTCTATATACGTATATCCATTTTATAACCACGTGCCTTTTGTATTGTGTTTGTATTTAGATACAGAAATATATGGTACAGTAGCAAAAGGATGACTTGAAAGAAAAGTTAAAATAATCATAGTGAAATTAAATAGATATATTAATGTCACATAAATTACATATAAATACGGTTAAAAGTGAATTTTAACTAAAATGTGATGTTTTAACTTAAAAGTTTATTATCTCAATGCTATTGTGATGTTCCCGTTTAAAATGGACCGCAGATTGTTGGACTAAATTCAGTTACCTCGTTTTTTTAACACTATATACAATGATATATTTAAAAAAATACTTTAGAAGTGAAATATTTATATACTTATGAACCCACTATATATACAGGTGACTGGTGAATTACTATCGATATTTGAGGACGTGATATTTGACGATCATATATGACAAAATAAAAATTAATATAACAAAAATATTAATAAACTTCTAAGTAAAGTTAACCAAAAGTTATGTAATTAATTACGCATCGTGTGAACACCCTACAGATTAGGTATACAACACACTCACACATACGCGCGCGGAGGCGTGTTGTTGTATCAGCACGCCGCCGCACGCGTCCACACTAGGAACACTTGGAACGTGTCCATGCCTTATTTATTTTTACGGAAATTTAGTCAAAAATTAAGTACCTATTTTTTTTACATAATTCGAATGAGAATCATGTACCGAGTATGCTCCTTAAATATTGATAGTAATTCACCAGTCACCCTGTATAATGATAATTACGAATTTATTAATATAGTTAGTTCACTGGGATCACATTAATCGAATTATGCAATTTGTGACGAGTACTGATTTATTTTACACACACACATCCATTCACTACATATATATATATATATATAGATTCGTATGTGTGTGTATATAAAGTATATTTTTTTCTAATGTTGTATTCAGTCGGCGTGTGTCTCCGTGGCTGTCTGCCAACGGTGCACTGCTGACGTCATCAATGTCATCGGCTTCCGGTCCTAATAATACACGCACACACATACACACATACACACACACACACACACACATACACACACACACACACACACACACACACACACACACACACACACACACACACACACACACACACACACACACACACACATCAACACTAGGTTATAATAATATCAGTGATTTATTTAGTTCGGATATGTCAGTCCTATCCCGGGTTCGAATCCTGGTCCTTCTATATATCATACTAGAAGACCCGACGAACTTCGTATCGCCCAATAAATCAAGAAATATCTGTTACGTTTTTTTATTTATATTTTTGGAGTTTACCTGTAAGCCATAAATCTTCGTGTTTTGAAGTGCGACAGAATGATTGACATATTAGTTAGTTGTCAAATCTAATGCCAAAAAAAACGTTTGTATGGGAAATAGAAAAGGGCTGTTTTTATGGTTTTCCCAGTAATGAATCAATTTTTTTCATCTTTTATGCCTTCCCTGAACCTCCACGAACATTTCAAGACTAAGATAAGATAAATCCGTTCAGCTGTTCTCGAGTTTTAGCGAGACTAAGGAACAGCAATCCATTTATATATATATAGAAGATATAGAAGATAGAAGATAGATACTTGTCATACATTTAAATGTACATATTGTATAATTATACGGCCATTTTATTCAATAATTCCATCGTAACAGGAGCCAGTAATAATATTATCATTATTTTAATATACACGTATGTGTCCGCTAGATTTTTTTGTCCTTATAAAAGAATGCTATTAAATATTAATAATATAGTGGAACCGGTAGTAAGGATATAACTATGTACTTGCAAGTAATATTTACTCTAGGTTTTACGTAAATAACAAATAATAATAAAATTGGTTGAAATCCCTTACATATTTAAAATTATATTTTTTTAATCTCCGTAATAATAGGAGTGTTGTAAGTTTGACGTCTATGTATGTATGTCTGTGGCATCCTTACCCTTACGTATGGACCAATTTTGATGCGGTTTTATTATTTTGAAAGTCGCTTTCCTTGAAATTATTCATAGATATGTTTGCTTAATATTGGTTCAACAGTGTAAGAGTATATTTTTATAATGATTTACCTATTATTTTTTTTACGTATGATTACACGATAATAGATGTTAAAATAACATTGGAACTATAAGAAGTATTGCAAATATTTATCTAAGAATAATATTTAATATTATCAATATTAATATTCATGTGATAACATGTGGATGTAGGTCTGTGTATTTGAATCATTTTACTATAACGGTTTTGAAGACGCCAAATACGTTACGATGGCGTTAGTCACTACACATTCGAGGCAGGCGAAGTCACGGAAACAGCCGAGCGGTGGCGGAAATACACGAACATTTGCTTCACAGAATATATATATATGTATATATAATATGTAAAGTAATAGTTATATATTGAGACCACTATATCGCTAGATACTTTTAATTAAGGTCAATGATTAGTAAATGATATTTATGAAACTAATTAAGTTTCTATAGTGTCAGCTATATTTATCAGTGAATACCATCATGATCGGCCCAGCCGTTTCAAAGGTATAACAAATCAACCAGTCAGCACAAATTTTACAAATGCTTTTAAAAATTTAATTCCTTTAAATTGGAATACAAACAAAAAATAGAATACATAAAAGGCAATACAATTTTATTAACTTACCTAAATAAAGGTTTACTGTAGAGTGATAGAAGTGTAAATTTGTAAAACATAAAAATCGAGCTAAAGTTATCCTGACAAGACTTTGTTTCCTCCGCTCATATGTAATTCCTAGAGAATTTTCATTTATATCGGAGCTTTAAAATACATTGAATTCGTTGCAAGAAATATCCAAAGTAATTTATGTTATCTTTTGATGGAAGAATTGGAATTTACAATATACTATGTTAGTTCATTCCGAATAGGCTGTCATAATTTTAAAAGTAATAAAATCTGTTTCCTTTAAAATATTTATGTCATAGGAAAATTTTGTTTTGACCATAAGTCGATTTCGTATTATCTCTAAAAGGATAAAACTATTAATACATTAATAAAAACTATAAAGATATGTTACGTAGGAAATGCGAATTAAATATATATAGTATCTCACTTGGACACATCGGATTCCCCGAAATGCTTCATAACGCCCACTATAGAGACATGATCATATGCGGTGACGTCACCAGCCGCCGGCGATGACGTCACCACTGGTACCTCGAGCCCCGTAAGTAGGGTTAACGATCCGTGCTACGTAATGTACCGACCGATGTACACGTGCTATCGGTTGATATCCCTACTAATATTATAAATGCGAAAGTAACTCTGTCTGTCTGTTTGTTACGCTTTCACGCCTAAACCACTGAAATGATTTTTTATGAAATTTGGTACAGACATAGAGTTGACCTTGAGAAAGAACATAGGATAGTTTTTATCCCAGACTTTTGAAAGGTTTTTTTGGAAATGCGATATAACCGAACTCGACGCGGGCGGAAAGCTGGTTGTCTATAAGACCTTTATGGTTGGAAGATATTTGATTACATACACATAAGTATTCGGTATAGGACCGAATATAGTAGTAATCGAATAGGCCGAATATCGAATAGTAACCGAATATTTGTAAGCTTATATGTATAATAGTTTTTGCCCGCGACTTTGTCCGCGATACTTTCGTCATTAGTAATATATGTATAGCTGACCGGGCGAGCTCTATTCCACCCTAGAGGCGGTAAATAAACAGATATTGGATTTTATTAAGTTTTTTTTTTAATCAAACAGAATTAAATATTCTATGTTCTAATCTATCTCTCCACCAATTTTCAACCATATCCCTACAGCCGTTCTTGAGTTATAAATAGTGTAACTAACACAACTTTCTTTTACATATATAATATAATTCTAAGTAAATTAAGAAATATCTATGATTACTTTTTTGATACCCACCTATCTATCATATATACTGTTAGTAGTATTAATATATTTTCTAAAGTATAACATTTCATGCTACACTTTATTAGGATACTTCTATCCCTCGGGAATCGGGATGTTTGAATAAAAAATTTGTGTTAGCTATGAGCAACGTAAAATTTTATACGATTCGTTTTACTAGTTTGTTTACCTAAAGAAGAATACTCATATTATAAATTGTGGATTTTTTTAAAATATTAATATCTATATTGCTTGGCAAATTATTTAATTTTTAATATTATCAAAAGTATAAAAATCGATAATGAACATGAAAAGAATTTTACGAAATTTTATAATTATTATGATTATTAATTTATTATCAACTTCTTTTGACTCCATGTCGGCTGTATGTTTAGTATTCATTGCATATATTTTTATTTTTCTGTATCAATGGCGATCTCCTTATACAGGTGACCGTGTTTTAAACCAGCTATCATCGATTAAGGAGAGTTGTATGAATGACCTCAAAATTGAGTATTGGTGCATTTAAATTACTCAACTTGGGTCAATTTTAAGTATATTACAGATTTAAAATAATTTGCCAAAGCGTCTTTTAAAATTTTTATTTGTTTGATGTGTATTTTTCATCATGTAAACAACCTCAGTAGTACTTGTATATTTTATGTACTACAGTACCGTATTACTTTATTATTAGCGCTATCTAGTGTCGTAAAACCACACTACGTTCTACGACCGGGCTAGCTTCCTCGCCATCAAGCGATTTCGCTACTGAATAATAGATGGCGCTAGTAGTGTACCAGGTTGTTTCTTATTGATTCTATTTTATCTCTACCGTTCAAATATTGATTGTATTTGGCGATAGTTATGTTTATTTAGCTATCTAGTATGTTTACTTAGATATGTTTTCAATGTTAGCTGTATGTATAGCCAGTACTATTATCATTGTTACACAATGACGGCTCTTGTTTCTTATATATAATTGTTTCCTTTATAAATATTCTTTGTTTTAGTTATATCATACTATCGACTCATGTGCTAGATATTTACGTACGAATCACTATTGTCGAGTCTTGTTTTGTTTTATCTGTGGACTTTCCACTGATAATAAAATTTAATGAAGAATTAATTTTTATTGAAATATTATATCGTATATTCTTATACTAAATCCGAGCGTCAAATTATCCGTCAGTGGGGATTATCGTGGAGTCAAGTCGGCCATCTTGTTTCCTTCAATTGGATGATAGCGCGGGAGTTTTATGTCAAGGTGACATATCAATAATGACCGTTACCGTTTGAAGTTGACTGTTGCCTTATTATACAGGGTGACTGGTGAATTACTATCGATATTTGAGGACGTGATATTTGACGATCATATATGACAAAATAAAAATTAATATAACATAAATATTAATAAACTTCTTAGTAAAGTTAACCAAAAGTTATGTAATTAATTACGCATCGTGTGAACACCCTACAGATTAGGTATACACTGACACTCACACATACGCGTGTCGTGACGTAGTGTTGTATCAGCACGCCGCCGCACGCGTCCACACTTGAACACTTGGAACGTGTCAACACTTTACTTATTTATACGGAAATTTTGTCAAAAATTAAGTACCTATTTTTTTTACATAATTCGAATGAGAATCATGTACCGAGTATGCTCCTTAAATATTGATAGTAATTCACCAGTCACCCTGTATATGAACGATTCTAAATTTAAAAACTGTTGTGTTCTCAGGATTAAATAAATGTACTTTATTTGGAAGTAAAATTGTAACTTTAAGTTATTAAGTATGTGTTTTATTTATTTCAATGTACGTTGATTATTATTTGATGAAAGTATTTCGTATTTACAAATGGTAATTTTTTATTTATACTAATTGAGATTTTTAACATTAAAATATTTTTTAAAATGACATATAAATTGTATTTTCTTATCAGTCATTATGAAATTATTTTTATAATAATTTTTTATTTGCGGTATTCCAGAGACATATTTAAATAAAAAAGCGATCATAAGTGGAATAATTCTTTTCTTTTATAAAACGAATAAAAGGTTATTCTTTCTCTGCACTCTTT